GGCCTGCCGGTCCTGGGCGGCGGGGCGCGGGGCCTGGGAGCCTGGTGAGCGGCCGGGGGCCGAAGCGGCGGCCGAGGATGCGGGAGCGGCGGGGGCGCGGGGACACACCGTGCAGGAGGCCGGACCCGGAGACCCAAGGCCGCGTCCGCCGCTGCGCGCTCGCTTTCGGGCCGCGCGCGCGCCCCGCTCCACCTCTTGTACGGCGCCTAGACCCCGCCCCCCGTCTGCTCCGCCCCCGGCCCCGCGGCCCCGCGGCCCCGGAGGCAACCCCTCCCCCTCGCGCGCACACTTAGCGGGGACTCGGTGCGGCCGGGACCGCGGACCCGGACGCGCTGCGCTGGGCGCAGCACGAGCCCCGAGCTGCTGGCGCCCTCCGATCCCCCGAGGACAGGACTGCAGCCGGGAAGCCCAAGGAAGAACCTCTCCTTCCGTCCCACATTCCTCCTTCGGGCGCCTTGTACTGCTACCCACGGAGGCTCCCTGGAAGAGGTGACGCGCCCGCGAGGGCTAAGTGAGCCAAGATAGCAGCGCGCCTTGCATCGCGCCCCGGAGTGGGAAGCCTGCGTGGGCGGTGAGGCCTGAGAGTAAGCAGACCTCGACCTGAAGACTCTGGAACGCGATTCTAGGCATCCAAACCCTTTTGTCCCGTGGTCGGGGGAGTTGCTGACCACTCTTAGAAGAATCTGTGTTTGGAAAGGTCCCTGAGAGGGTGTCCCCTAGGCCAGTGTTAACTGTCTAAGAAGCCCAAGCCACCTGTAGGAGAACCTCCAAATATGGTGTATTTATTTCATGCATACGTTGGTGGTGCCAGCATCCCCAAATCCTGTCTTCCTGAAGTATGGGGACCCCACTGCCCACACTGCCTGGGGTAATGAGGAAGCGGACAGGTGACTCGTCAAGTGAGGGGTGCTTACTCCCCAGGTGACGGAGCAAGTCTGTGACACGCAGATGAAGACGTGCCCACTGACCGCTTGAAACGTGACCAGTGCCAATGCCGAGGAGTGACATTTTCGTTGTGGTTCATTGTAGTAAATGTGGACGGCCACGGGTAGCCAGTGGGTGCCACGTGACTGGAGCCCTCTCATATCCATCAGTGCTCTTCTGTCGTGTTCTTGGTGGCTAATTTTAAATTCTGTTTTGGCTTCACGCTTGTATAAGAGCTCCAAGCACACATTTGAACCTAGTGTTCTGTTTATGCCTGTCCAAGTGACATTATAATAAAAGTAACTGAAGTCGTTCCTGGGGGGTCTGCCAGGGTTCTTTTTGTTGAAAAGGAGGCAGGACAGGCGTCTAGTGTGAGGCAACGCGTGCCCCGATGTCCTGGGGGCCCTGCACTCCCCACAGCTCCCCGCTGCCCAGTTACAGGACATTCACCACAGGTGTGGGCTGAATCCTCAGAGAATAGCCTTCCGTGGGCCCCGTGGGGGGTGCAGAGGGACACTGAGCCCACCCTCAGGGGAAGGGCAGGGGCAGAGGCATGCCGGCTGCGCCCTTGGTCCGCCATCCCCAGAGCGGGTCACCCCCGGCCAGCCTGGTCTATGCTCTGCTTCAGTCACGCGTCAGATGCTTGGTGGGGCCTGCTGTCTGCCAGGTGCGATTCCAGGCGCTGGCTGTGGGAGCTGGCCAGCCAGGACCCCTTCTCGCAAGGTCCTTAGGCCCAGGTGACCGTGACAGATGCCACCTCATGAGGATCATGTCTCATGTTGATTCTGGGAAGGGAGGGATGCCCAGGAGACTTGAAAGAGTCACAGAGTGTCGGGGTGCAGGGGCGGGAGCACCCCTACGTCGTGGGGGCTTGGAGGGTCCCTGAAGAGCGGGAAGGAGCCAGCTCTGTCCCCCAGGCAGACAGGGGACAGGTAGGAGGAGCAGCAAGGGAGCCAGCGGCCTGGGAGCCAAGGAGGGACAGACCCGGGCAGGGCAGGGCCAGTGCTGAGGGGTCTCCGGCCTAAAGGCCAGTGTGAGGCCACCTTCGATCCTGACTGTAGCGGGAGCCGTTGGAGGGTTTCTGCAGGGAAGCCACAGGCATGGCTTCCGACCTGAACCGGGACACAGATGGCAGCAGACGGCCTTGGCCCCACAGTGGGACCTGCACTTACAGGCCCCTCGGGGCTCACTGGGAAAATCAGGTCCCCCTCCAGGTGCTGGTACATGTGGGCTGTCCCCAGCGACCCCTTCTGCCCAGGGGCCACCAACTTTTCTTGTGAGGACTGAAGGGGACCCGCCAGTGCATTAATCAGAGTTCTCCAGAAAAAACAGAACCAGTAGGAGATGTGTGTGTGTGATATACCATAGATATATGTATATAATAAAGGAGGTTGATTATTACAAACCAGCTCATGTGATTATGGAGTCTGGGAGGTCCCAGGGCCTGCCATCTGTAAGGAGATGGGGTGTGGGGGTGTCGGGGGAGGGGGTTTGGAGGCCGAGAGCAGGGAGCCGAAGGTGTAAATCCCAGACCAAAGGCTGGAAAAGATGAGAGAAGGGGTCCCAGCTCACGGGGTGAGGCAGGAAAAAGGGGAGAATCCCCTCTTCCTCTGCCTTTAGTGGCCTCAGTGGGCTGGATAAGCACCCCCATTGGGAAGGCCACCTGCCTGCCTGAGTCCACCCATTCAAATGCTGACCTCACCTGGAGACACCCCCCTCCCCTGGGCACCCCGAGAAAGAATGTTCTGTCTGGGCACCTGGTGGACAGGCACGTTGACAGAACATCCCAGGCAGCAACGACACATGTGGCAGTGCGATCAGGGGGCAGGTGGCACTCGGGGACTGCGTCCTGGGAAAGACCCCCGTTGTGGGCCGGATGTCGGAGCTTCCATCCAGGCTCCGAGACACACAGACAAGCACCCAGATGGGCTGCGTCACAGCACGAGGGAGAAAGGGGAGGGGGCGTGCCTGCGTCGGGCCTGGCATGGGAGACCCCTCCCTGCACCTTCCCTGCCCACCAGCCGTGGGAAGGGCTGGCGCCCAGAGGACAGGCAGGGCTGGTGGTGAGATGGGAAGCTGTAGGCCTTGCTGGCCAGCTGAGCCTGTCCCTCTATGTGACTTCGGGCTGGTTCCTCAGTTTCCCCGTCTGCAGTGGTGCCATGGAGGCGAGAGGAGCAGGGCCTGCCCCACGGCCGGCCGGAGGCCACTGCCTCCTTTAAGCTTGTTGGCCCGAGAGGCTTCTCTGCCCAGCCCAGCTCCAGGGCCTGGTGACTCACTGCTCTTCTGGGCTACGCTTTTTGTTCTGGGGGAATCACTGAGCCCTGCCCAGTGCCTTGATTTCCTGTGGAAGTAAACCGAGACCACCCAAATGAATGGAACAGACGCTGTTTATGCAGAGACTGCTGCAGTGGGGACTCTGCCACCCTCGCTGCACTTGGCTGAGACTCAAAGACAGGCCCCGAGGGGAACAGCTTCGTACTTACAAAAGGAAGAGTTTAGCATCCAAAAAGCAATTCATGTACTGCACCATAGTAATAAAGGACAGGCATCGTATGATCATCTCCACAGTTGCCTGAAAAGCATTTGAGAAAACCCAGCCCTCTGTCCTGATGAAAACACTCGACACCCCAGGAATAAAAGGGCACCGCGAACATCTGATAAAAGGCATCTACATAAATGCCGCCGGCTGGCAGCACTCCTAATGGTGCAAGGCTGGAAGCGTTTCCCCCAAGATGAGGAACAAGACAAGGACGGACACTCTCTCGGCTCTGCTATTCGCCATTGTCCTGGAGGCTGTGGCCAGGGCACGTAGGCAAAACAAAGGAAGAAAAAGGCATCTGTACTGGACAGGGAGGCGTGGCCTCTGACTGCAGAGGACATGACGTTGTGTATAGAAAATGCTAAAAAACGCACCCAAAACCTACTGAAACTAACAGACGTGTGCAGCAATTGGCAGGTTACAGGATCAATGTAAGAAAATCAATTTTATTTCTATACACTAGCAATGAACAATCCTAACATGGAATGAAGAAGACAATGCCATTTCTAATAGCAGCAAACAGAATGAAGTACCTGGGAATAAATGTAGCCAATTTATTGTAAGACATGGACACTGACTGGAAGCTACAAGACATTGTCAAAGGCATGAGGGAAGGTCTCAGGACATGGAAAGGTTCCCGGGGTTCACAGATTGGAAGACTCAGTCTTGTCACGATACCAGTGCTCCCCAAATTGACCTACAGCTCCACACAATACCTGTGAAAATCCCCACTGGCTTTACCAGGCACTTCCTAAGTACCCTATGATTACAAGGGTCCCGGGACAGCCAAAACAAGCCTTGAAAAAGACGGACAAAGTTGTCGGGCTCACACTTCCTGGTTTGAGCTTCCTGCAAAGCTACAGTGGTCAGGACCATGTGGAGATCGAATGCGTAGACTCAAGCGCCCAAAAATCGACCCTCACCATCCTGGCACCTCCAGCCCATCTCGTCCCCGTCAGGCATCGGTCTGTATCATGGAGCCATGCACAAGAGGCAGCCTCTGGCCCTGAGCCTTGCTGGAGGTGTGACTGCTGTCTCGGGTTCCCTCATTACACAGCCTGTTTATTTGTTCCTTTCCCCTCAGCTGCTATTCCTCCTTCTCCGTTTGTGCCCAAACACTTCCACCCTTGGGGGTGACGTCACATTTGAAAGCATAGTTACAGTTCTTCCTTGGGAATCAGCCTTCCTTCTGGCCCTGGGAGTCACAGCCCTTGTCTTGTGACCCCTGCGTCAGGTGGTGGGGGGAATGGAGGCGATGTGGGGAAGAAAGAAAAAATATATGTGTCATACTAGTGGACCTAGGTGGCCACCTTAAGCGAGCACACGAGGGGATCTGCTTGTCGACCCCAGTCACCTTCCAAACCTGGAAGGGGGTTCTCGTGGGCACTGATGTGTCCTCTTCTAATGCACCCCTCAAATTCCCACAATGATTTCCATGGGGCCGTGCCCCGTATGGGCATCCTCTAATTCGGGCATCCTCGTTGCCTGACCACATGGCCAGACCACTGGCCACTGCTCATGAATCAGTAGAAACCCCAAGACGGGCTTTTCCCATTGCTCAAGTCTCCGCATCACCGCTGGGCAGGCAGCGTGCATGGCCACCCACAGAGCTGACCTGTTTTTACCTCCTTCCATCAGAATAGTGGCCTTCCGACCAGGATGTGGTCCGTTCACTGTGGAGCTGCCGTCCACAAACCAAGCAGCTCTCTGTCGCTCAGTTGAGAGCTGTCACAGGTCACCGTCCTAATGACAGTACAGCCAGACAACTCTTCACACAGCTCCGAAGCCAGGTCCTAGGGGAAAGGAGGCTCGCTGCTTGTGAGGGTCTCTCCCATGGCCCCCCCCAGGCAGCACGAGCCTGTATAAACCACTTCTATTTCGTTATGGAACCTTTCTGGGCACTGCCTTCCCCACTGAGTGTTTCTCTGATACCGCCCAAGACACTGGGCATTTCAGGTTTCAAGATTATTTTCTGCCTTTCCATCATAGGGGTAGTTTCAAGTAATGTCTGCTAGCAAGCTCACAAGTGCCCCCGATGGGAATTCTCTATTCCAAAGTCCCCGAGGTCGTCGCTGGGAGACGCTCACAGGTTTGGGCCATGAGCCCCAGCGCACACTCCACACAGCGTCATCTCACACAGGCACTGAGCTTCCACCCCACGATCTGTGGTGCAGGCGCTCTTCCCGGTTCCCGGTCAGTGTGTCCAGCTAACAGTACTCGAGGGCCAATTTACATGCCTAGCATTTTACAGCTCTAGGTACTGGCAAGTATCCCCAGCCAGACGCAGGGGAGGAAAAGTAATTTTTCTTCTACTCTTCTAAGTTATTCTGGCTGGACTAATCATCAAACTGACACCAGAGACATCAATGGAAAAAAATAATCAAATTCATTACATATGCACTGACAAGAGTTCCATAAAGGGGTGGCCGGTTGGCTCAAGGTGGTTGGAGCGCGGGCTCTTGGCACCAACGTTGCTGGTTCGATCCCCACATGGGCCAAGGAGCTGTGCCCTCCACAACTAGATTGAAGACAACTACTTGACTTGGAGCTGATGGGTCCTGGAAAAACACACAGTTCCCCAATAAAATTTAAAAAAAGAAAAGAAAATGGGACACACACACCCCGCCCCCAGGCTGGCTGAGTGGCTCAGTTGGTTAAGAGCGTGGGCTCTGAGCAGCAGGGT